GCAAGAGAGATCTCTTTCTTAAAATAACTGCCAATTATTTAGCCCAAGATGGCAGGCAAGAGCAGTTCATTCCAGGTAGTTTAGCATCATTTACTTCCAAGAAGGTCTGTACATGCTGTTGTTTTTTTTCCATTCTGTTTTTATAGCTATACCTATGTAATTATTCTAACAAAAAAAATTGCAAATTAATGGATACCTAGAAAGGATCGATCTAATTTTCCTCCCGTATGTCCAGGTCTGTCCCTGGGGAAAGTCAGGCCTCTTTCATAAAAGCAGTCAGTGTTTGGATTAATGTGACTAAGCATTTCTAGGGAACTTCGAATCCAGCTGCTTTAACTTTCTCTGCACAGCCCCCTAAAGAAAGAGTACAGAGTTCTGTTTCCATGATGAAGTAAACTTGGTTGAAAAAAAACTTGGCAGTCTTTAAAAAAAAAATACCGATATTTGTTTGATGTTTCCAATAGTCTTAAGCTGGTTGCGCTCCAAAGTGCCCAATTAGTACAGTGTTAACAAATCATTTTCCTTCTATTAATCAGAAAAGCATGTTGCCCTCGAGACCTTGGTTTGGGTTTTGATGAGAGTGTAGAAAATTTTATTTCTCGGGAAAGAAACTTCTCTGTAGCTGCCAGGCGATAAAGCCAGGAGCACAGGGCCCTGGGGACCTTGCGAGAATTGCGGAGGAACTGGAGAGTTGGCTTCCCCTGAGATGCACCGAGTCCTTTCATGCGCTAGGTGCGGGCGCCGAGCACTTCCGAGGCTTTGTCTTATTTATTCCGCCTCATCCTGGGGGATAATACCCATATTTTGTGTCTGTGAGAATTGGAAATCCAAGTGTGGGAGAAGAATGATTTTTAATGAGAACACCCCACCCTCCAGAGAAAGCTAAGCGCAGGTTTGTTCAGCAGTTTTGAGTCGCTGGGTGGGAGGCTTAAAGTGTGGGCTTCCTGTTCGATCGAGGCTGCCCTGTGAAAGACATACTCAGGGCAGCTGTTTAGACGACCTAACACTCAAGCTGACTTTCTAAAACAGGGTTTTGGGATTGGTTTTTTATTTATTTTATGTATATGAATTTTTGTCTCATGTGTCTGGTACCCCCAGAGGTCAGAAGTGGGTGTCCAGTCCCCTGGAACTGGACAGATGGCTATGAGCTTCTACGTGGGTGTTGGGAATTGAACCTGGGTCCTCTGCAAGAGCAACAAGTGCTTTTAACCCCTAAGCCAGCTCTCCAGCACCCCACATGTTGTATTATAAAATCAGAATTATTAATGCATACTAATTACCAATATCATGTTTTTCTGTAATGTATCCATACATTCATATTTATATTTTGGTTGTATCCACCCTCCCAACCACACGCTTTTACTCTCCTCTCTCCCCGGGTCCCTTACCCTTCCCTAGCAGTCCCTCCCTACTTTCCATAAATGAGAGAAAACATGTTGTCTTTCTCTGTCTGGCCGATTTTGCTTAACATAACAAACTTCCAGTTCTGTCCGTTTTCTTGCAAATGACATGATTTTGTTGAATGAAAGTCTGTTTCATATATATGCATGTTGCATTTTCTTCATCCATGTACCTTTTGATGGGCAGCTAGCCTGATTCTGTAACTTGGCTGCCATGGGTAGTGCCATGGGGAACATGGGTAGACGTATCCCCACTGCATGCTGACTCTGATTCTTTTGAGTGTATACTCTGGGGTTAGTATAGATGGCTCATGTGGTAGTTCAGTTTGTAGAGGCTCTGTGTGTGTGATTTAGGACTTCCTTGCCGTTTTTTTCCTTAGTGGCTGTCCTAATAGACATTCCCATCAACAGAGTATAAGGTCCCGCCTCCCCAGTATGCCTAGCAGCATGGCTCCGTCTTGCGTCCTTGCCGATAGCCATTGTCACTGGGGTGGGGTAGGGTCTTAGTGTCATTTTGTCTTCCTTTTCCTTGACTGCAGATAGATGTTCGGCATTTTTTCTGGTGTTTGCTGGCCACCTGTTTGGCTTCTTTTTAGATAAGTGTGTGATTATGTTACTGCTCACATTATATTTTTGGATTTTCTTTTTTTTTTTTTTAGTCTCCAGGCTATAGCATGCTGCAGACCCACTCTGCTGCTCATTGTCCCACGACTGATACCTCCCTTTCTCACCCTTTTAGGCCAGAATAGGAAAAGTAGCTCATGGTGTACACTGCACCAAGTTGTGCAGGAACTTGGCCTGATTTCTAAACACAGGGCACAGGTTTAGTGAAAAGCAAGGAGAAACCCCCACATTGAAAAGTAAACATGAGGGGCCAGAGAGACGACTGCCCGGTGAAGAGCACTGGCTGCTCTTGTAGAGCATCTCCATGGTGGCTCACAACCATCTGTAACTCCAACCCCAGGGCATTGGAAACCTCTTCTGACCTGTGGGCACCAGGTATGCATGTGGTGCACATACACACACACACACACACACACACACACACACACACACACATATATATACACACACACATATATGTATATATACATATATAGGCAAAATACCTATACACATTAGATAGATAGATAGATAGATAGATAGATAGATAGATAGATAGATATGTAAATAAAATAAAGAAGCATAAAGATTGTAGAAGTATGGGGATGGCATTTCCCCATTGTCCTGTTCTGTCAACTCAGAAAGTTCCACTGCTGTGGCTCTAGAGTACATGCCCTTTGATGAGCCAGCGAGATGAATAAAGCTGCCTGTAGAGTATATATTGTCATTTGAAAGACTCACAGAAAAATAGAAGAGTTAACTTCCACAGACAAGGATTTAGATGTTACACGTCAACGATGGATTGAAAACATTTGGGAGAAATAGATACATAACGTGCAGATCTTTATTCCTGCCATCATTCCCTGAGTGTCTTAGCTGGGGTTTCTATTGCTGCGATGAAACACCATGACCAAAAGCAACTTGAGGAGCAAAGGGATTATTTCAGCTTATGCATCCACATCATAGTTCATCACTGAAGGAAGTCAGGACAGGAACTCAAACAGGGCAGGTACCTGGAGGCAGGAGCTGATGCAGAGGCCATGGAGGGGTGCTGCTTACTGGCTTGCTCCCCATGGCTTGCTCAGCCTGCTTTCTTGTAGAACCCAGGACCACCGGCCCAGCGATGGCACCACCCACCATGGGCTGGGCCCTCCCCCATCAGTCACTAATTAAGAAAATTCTTTACAAGCCTGCCTACACCCCCATCTTCTGGAGGCATTTTCTTAATTGAGGCTCCCTCCTCTCCGGTGACTCCAGCTTGTGTCAGGTTGACATAAAACTAGCCAGGACACTAAGAAATATAGGTAACTCTTGTGATGCACTAGGCACTATAAGCAATGTGTCAGTGATTTAAGATGTACATGAAGGTGTATAGTGATTACATTTTATAGAAGAGACTTGGAGCATCTGCAGATTTTGGTATCATGGGGTTTCGAACTAGTCACTCACAAGTATGGGAGAATTGCTGGAATTGAAAGTTATAATGAGAAAAATTCAGATGGCATGAAAGGAAAATTCTTCAATAGGGAAATAATACTGCAGAAACTAAATGGAAGATCTTTTAAAATATCCTCTTAGTTCCACATTTATACTGTTCTAGTAGTAAAGTGGGTTCCTTAAGAAGGTAGTCTTCCTTCCAAAACCAGTTTCCATGAAACCAGATGAGTCCAGCCATGACAGAAACGGAATCCCGATTCTACTCTCTTGCTAGAATGTAAGTAGAATTTAGTGTCACAGAAAATAGTCCATGCAAAATGAGATAGTCACTGCATTGTGTGGCAGAAACTAAAACACCTATGAGGAATAGAGCCATGAAGTAGCTATGTAGCCCATGTAATAGTCCAGTGTAGTCAGGAAGAGCCATGAAGTAGCCATGTAGACCATGTAACTAACAGTCCAGTGCAGTCAGGAAGAGCCATGAAGTAGCCGTGTAGCCCACATAACAGTCCAGCATAGTCAGGAAGAGCCATGAAGCAGCAGTGTAACCCATGTAATATATTGTCCAGTGCATTTTGGTGTGGAGAGATTACCAGGCCGACTGGACAGGGTAGTTGCAGAGCAGAATGCATTGTTTGATCATGTGTGTGGCTTTGTGGATGTGTGCAGTTCCAGGTGTATACATGCAAAGAAAAAAACACTGGCAACTACCCAAGAAAACATCTGGGAAAGGGAAGAGGGAGGGGTTGTGACATAATCTTTGTCTTTAACATCCATGTGCCACATACGCAAAGGGGATGGGGGGAGAGAGAGGGGGAGGAAAGCAAAACTAAGAGTCTCGCTCGGCGAAGGTTCGTTAAGCACTAAGAACGCTGCCCCACAGTCGAGCCCCAGGTTGGAAGCCCAGAGTCGTTACCATGACGGTCCATCCTCACAGGTTCTTCGCCTTCTGTGCCTCTGTATGTGAATCGCGCAGTTTTAAGGATGAAGTCCGTGGAAGACCATGTTGGTCCATACCTGGACTATTGTAATATTTGCCATACAGAGTCAGTGTGTGTTATTAGGTTAGAATACTTAGCATCAAGCTCGCCTTGGGTCTCCGTACAAACTTGGCAGTGACAGCCTTAGGAATCACAATGTATTCTCTCTTCCCCTCCTACTCTGTGCGTGTGCGCGCGTGCGTGCGTGTGTGTGTGTGTGTGTGTGTGTGTGTGTGTGTGTGTGTGTGCGCGTGCATGCGTGCGTGTTGAGATGGGAATCTCACTATATAGCCCAGGGCTGGCCTAGAATTCCCCACCTCCTTTCCTTAGCCTGCCAAATGCTGGAGTTACTGGAGTGTGCCACCACACCCCTCTATTCTCTTAGTTTTTATTTGATTTGTTAATTGTACTAATTTTTTTTTAAAGAAAAAAAGAAAAACAAAACCAAATGGAATCATCTTATTTCATGGAGAGAGACATTCTTGGATGTACTTTTTGACCATGTGACCTAATATATTTATTGCTACTAATCTATAGACACGTAAGTGTAGATAATGACTTTCCTTTCCTTTGTCCATAGGAAGACTATGATCGTCTGAGGCCTTTATCTTACCCCATGACTGACGTCTTCCTCATCTGCTTCTCTGTGGTAAATCCAGCCTCATTTCAAAACGTGAAAGAGGAGTGGGTACCAGAACTTAAGGAATATGCACCAAATGTCCCCTTCTTATTAATAGGAACTCAGGTGTGTCTGCTTTGATTTTATTCATTTAAGAATAAGCTCTCTAGCTAGTTTGGGGGGGGGGGTTGCTCTCAGACAAAAGACCCTATGATTTAGCAAATGATGCGCTTAATAAGTTTCAAGTGCTAATTCCTCTCATTTTTACATAAAACTAATCCCCCAAAATTATATTAGTATCTTTAAAAATCTTGTTTCGTTTATTTTTTTTTTAATATATGGAGATTAAATGGGACTGTATGCACTGGTTTCTTTTAAATACATATTATAGGACATTATTGATCTTTCTGAATTAGATTGATCTCCGAGATGACCCCAAAACTCTAGCAAGACTGAATGACATGAAGGAAAAACCTGTCTGTGTAGAACAAGGGCAGAAGCTAGCAAAAGAGGTAACGAGTCCCTGCTGGATTTCTCCCTGCTGGATTTCACATGTGTGTGAAGTAACGGCAGAAGCCAGCTGCGCTGTGCATTGTGTCCAGGGCACTGCCGGGTCCTCTCTCCCACTACCTCCCTTATCTCGGCACTGACACCATGAGGGAGGCCTGTTTCCATGACGAGGGGGAACGGGGGGGGGGGGGGGGGGGGGGGCTCTTAACTGTCAAGGAGACTTGCCTGAGATTTGGCAGTAAAAAAATGGCGGAGCTGGGCTGCCAGGCTACATGTCTGTTTGCCTGGGCGATGCTTGCAACTGTGGTGCCTTTAAAGCCAGAAGCAGGTGCTGAGGCTTCACACCTTTCTTAATTATTGAAACATTTGTACTGTGCCAAAGTAGGCTCTGCTTTCAGTTACGACTCCTGCAGGTGCAGCGGGAGTGACATTAGGTGACAGTTTAAATCTGTGGCTAAAGAGAAAATTATGGCTGGATTTCTAGAATACCTTTTAACTCATATTTTCCCTTACCCCAAAGCTAGATTTTTTTTTTTTTTTTTTGGTTTTTTTCAAGACAGGGTTTCTCTGTGTAGCCCTGGCCGTCCTGGGACTAGCTCTGTAGACCAGGCTGGCCTCGAACCTCAGAGATCCGCCTGCCTCTGCCTCCCAAGTACTAGGATTAAAGGCATGTGCCATGGCTGCCCGGCCCAAAGCCAGGTTCTTTTTCCTCTCCATCTGACTATAAGATCATTGGATTCTTCTAATTCTTCCTCCTCCTCCTCCCTCTCTTCCTCTTCTTCTTCCACTGGCTTTAATAGGATTTTTGTGTAAATGCTACCTAATAAGATCTTTTAAAATATACTATTGGGAGATAGAAAGAAGCAAGAGAACTTTCTGGAGGATAGCTTTTCCCAAAGCAAAGAGAAAGGATATCACCAGCAAATCACTTCAGAAATTCCTTGCATTTGATTTTATAATCTTGGGGAAAGAAGGAATTTCTAAATGCATAAAGGCAAAAGTTATAAATGCGATGAGTTGACTGCATAAATATTGCTATCATATCGGATTCCAGAAATAAAAGCCAGGTTGATTTGTAGGGCATTAACATCTTAGTATGCAGGAACCCCTTGCATAAAATGAGTCCATCAGAAGAGGACATATAACCTAGCAGAAAAGTGGGCTAAGAGCATCCACCCAGTCACCAGGTCTGAAGAAGTGAACATGAGCTTCCACTCCAAGAAGAAGGAACAGAAATTGTGCACCCTTACTTTCCAGGTGACAGTACAACACATGAAGTTCCTACCCTGCTCTTATGGAGATAACTTTTTTTTTTTTTTTTTTTTTTTTGAGGGAGAGAAACCAACCCTAGTAGTGAGCATAGAGCTAGAGTGCCAGAAAACAGTAAGGGGCCGAGCAGCCAGGCAACCCTGAGAAACTGACTCGAGCATGATTAACATCTACACAGGGGACAGTCACATCTGTGCTCTTCCCACCTCTGGCTACTTTACTGTATCTTGGATATGCCAACGGCCTCCCACATTGGTCTCTGGGTCTTGGCTCCTCAGGTTCCTCACTGTTCACCCTTCTCAGCTGTGGAGAAGGCGTCCCTGGCGACCACCACCCTGGCATTTCCCTCTGCTCTTTCCCCCCAGCACCTAGCTGTGTCTGTTGTCTCGCCCCACAGCAGGACCCCTTCGTCACTGACATGTCCTCAGCACTTAAGCACTTGCTTAATGTGTAGTGAGGATCTAATATTTGGTGAATGAATTTTTCATAGAGAAATCTGGAAGGCCGTACACTAGTATTTTAACAACTGTCTCTCTCTGGGTATTGTGAATATGGGTAATGAGGTTCTTTTGCATAGCTGTATTTTATAACTTCCTGTGTAATGTGTTGTTACTGAGTTGTAGAAAACTGTTTTATATAATTGTGGCTTTTTTTTCTCCTTCCCAGATAGGCGCATGCTGCTATGTGGAATGTTCAGCTTTGACCCAGAAGGGTTTGAAGACTGTTTTTGACGAGGCTATCATAGCCATTTTAACTCCAAAGAAACACGCAGTTAAAAAAAGAATAGGATCAAGATGTATAAACTGTTGTTTGATTACGTGAGAAAAGTCTGTAGTGGCCAAGGAAACTGTCCATTTCTCCCAGAAAGCATTTGAAATGCTACAGCAATGTCCTGACCTCTTACAATGAAGAAGTTTAACCTGAGCGGGGAGGGAACCTGTCCTCAGCATTCTCCAGAGTTCACTGAGAATGTTTCTTAAAGGTCTAAGCGGCAGCAAACAGCATCTGAAGCCACAATCTACTCTAAATAGTTTATTTCAACTAGAAGGTACAATCTCTCAGGGGTTTCATAGTTAAAAAGCTACAATCACATCATGTTGAAACGACATTGAAAAAACAACAGTGCTGTAAATGGAACCGCTTGGCTTTGACCAGACACATTTCTGCACAGTCCTTATGGAATCTGCACAAAGAAATATCTCCTCCCCTTTCTCCTCTTAATTGTTCTTGTATGTAAGTTGCTTTCTATTCCAGTATATCCAGAGTGGTGAGCTCACGAGGCCAGCCACGTAGCCAAAGGTCGCTCCGAGTGTACAGGAGATGGGCCACACCTGAGGGAAGAATTATGAGATCAAAACCAACCAATGTTTCGTTATTACTTGAGCACAAATTAAGTGTAACATAAACATTTCTATAGTGAAGCTTAATGTGCTTTCTTAAAGAATGCCAAAAGTTTAGTAGATCATAACTGCATTTACCATGAACACTAAAAATGTCCACATTTTAGTTAATGTGCACTAAAAGGTAACAAGGCTTCTGGCAACTGTAGATTTAGTTTGATGTTCCCCAAATTGCATGAAATACATGCTAAAGTACAAATTTAAAAGTTGGGCCATAGTTTGCCATAATCCTGAACTCAGTTTAGCTCTCTGAATGAGTTGGTCATTTTTCTAATTCCCACTTTGGCTGTGTACATCAAATGAAACAAGAAGTGAGTAGACTGACTGAACCTTAGGAACTTTTCAGTTGTGTCAGAGGGAAGACACAGAATCTAAGCATGTTACGTGGAACGTGTGGGTACTCTGCTTCCATGAGCTGCAGGTACTGTAGCCGCAGAGGGTGCAGCCCATAGCTTATGCACACACCTAGAGTGTAGGGCAAGCAGAACACTACAGGCTTCCCGATGGTTTCCCCAGCCATGGTACACTTCATTAAACCAGAACCAACTAATGGCGATTTATTTTATGCCACAGACAGGGTATGTGGGTCCCAAAGTAAAAAGCCCTGTGTAAAAAAATCTTGGAAGCAAACTTTCTTGTTTCTTTTGTAAAGCTTATTTGGTGTACTAGAGCCATTTCTAACCCTTCTCTGAGGAATAGGCCACCAGAGTGCACTGGAGGCAAACCACCTTGCAAACTGGCTGGTACCATGTGGCTTTCTTCCTCAGGCTGCTGTGGATCTGCCTTATTCTAAACGCCATGCAACAGACAGATGTGGTAGACAAAGCTTCCATGCGAACCACTCACGCAGTTGGGAAGCATAATTAATCCATAGAGTGTTACCGGCCTTTCTTAGGTTTCAATTTGCTGTTGCTTCAACTACGACTTCCTTGTCTTTAGCAAGCTTCTGTTATCTTCCAGGATTTGTGCTTACAGCTTTGTCTATTGCACAGATTGGGTAATGGAACACTAAACATTGATACTTGAAAATGACAGCCTTAAATGTTCATACCAGTCACAAATCTCGATGTACTGTCTTGCATGTGAGCTTTGTAGGAGTTTTTGAAGTATAAGCACCACACTCCCCCACTTGGCAGTGGACAGTCTACTGGACAAGAGCTTTCTCTTGGAAGTGGACGTTGGATGTCTTTTTCTCCAAGCAGTGGTGGTTCACATTAAGCATCATGGCCTTATGTATGCTCAAATGGGATTTCTGTAACTTTCCCATTCAGTTTTGGTCTGTTTTTAGATAGAACTGAAAGAACCTGTATACTGAGTTAACATGCTAGCTAAGTTGTTACACCAATATGAAGGAATCCCGACAGTAAAGTATTATTCATTTCCAAGTCGCCTTTGGAGATTTGATGGGTTTGGGTTTTGGCTTTTCTCTTTTTCCTTCAAATCTACGTTTGTGAAACCTTGGACACTTGGTGTATTAGGCAATGAAGTTAAAGTCAAGAACGTTCCTGCTCCAAGAGAAGTGGATCAAGAATCTAGAAAATGCACTGGTGTCGCCTTGGTTTCCTCATGTTCTGACCATGGGACATCTCCAGTGTCCTCCCATTCATGAGCTCTTTCCACTCTCTCCTGACTCACAGCAGGCATGTCGGCCATCTCACTCTTCACTCTCCTGACTCACAGAAGGCATGTTGACCACCTCACTCTTCACTCTCTCCTGGCTCACAGCAGGCATGTCGGCCATCACACTATTCACTCTCTCCTGACTCACAGCAGGCATGATGACCACCTCACTCTTCACTCTCCTGATTCACAGCAGGCATGATGACCACCTCACTCTTCACTCTCCTGACTCACAGCAGGCATGTCGGCCATCTCACTCTTCACTCTCCTGACTCACAGAAGGCATGTTGACCACCTCACTCTTCACTCTCTCCTGGCTCACAGCAGGCATGTCGGCCATCACACTATTCACTCTCTCCTGACTCACAGCAGGCATGATGACCACCTCACTCTTCACTCTCCTGATTCACAGCAGGCATGATGACCACCTCACTCTTCACTCTCCTGACTCACAGCAGGCATGATGACCACCTCACTCTTCACTCTCTCCTGACTCACAGCAGACATGATGACCACCTCACTCTTCACTCTCTCCTGACTCACAGCAGGCATGTCGGCCATCACCCTGTTCACTCTCTCCTGACTCACAGCAGGCATGTCAGCCATCACATTTGCAGCCTCACCCTCTCCAGATGGTAAGAATCATGTATATAGAATTCTTGAACTCTAAGCCGACGATTGTATCATCTGAACCTGAGGTGCCTTAGGTACTCTATTTACCTTGATGGGGTTTGGAGTTTCCCATTGCTTGTTAAGAGCTCTTTGTGTTGGTTAGTTAGTATTTCTTTTTGCAAAATCTTCTCTGCCACTTTAACCAAAAAACCAAAGATTTGTTTTCTATTCATGAGCAGATTATAGAGAAACTGCCTTATTTTCAGAAGCATATCTTCATTAAAGGCTTAGGTTGCAACAGAAATTCAGACTAATCTCTGGAAAAACTCTTTCAAACTAGTGAAATACCGGGGAAAGAAAATACTTTTCAAAACTATTTTATTAACATGAATTGTGCTAGTGAATGCATGCACTGCTTCAAATAAGGTCATGTACGAAAGACTGAGAAGAAATTAGAACTGATCGGTGTTTGCACAGAAAATTTGTTCGACAGTCCTTTAACGTTTTTAGGGGAATCTGGAAATCTAGTAGAACTTCGCTAATGTGTGCCCTTACTCTATCCTCACAGGTACATTGTAGCTTACTTGCGATGAATTATCATATTTCCAATAAGTAGAGCTTGAGTTTGTGCTATTTGTTATGAATTATCTTAGTTACTTTAGACACTGCTTCCATTTGAGTTTTAATTATTGGTTTTAAATACCAAATTAAATACTGGTTTGTTGGTTGTTGCTTTTTCAATGATTGTTACTTCAACAGCGTCCCTTTCCTAACGTATGGGGTCATAAATAAAATGAAACGCACAGTTACTATTTATGGAAAGCACTCAACTTCTTCCCTTAGTAGTTTTTATTTAGTCCCCTTCCCTCTGCTTTGAGACTGCTCACCTCTGGCAATGCGTGAGCACCTGCACCCCCCAAAAAGCTCCCTGTCGGTCAGAGTGTGGAAAGAGTAGCAATCCCTGTGGCTCCCAGCCACATTCTGATTTCAGGTACCAAAATCTGTTTTAATCACTCTGTGACTTCAGTGTGGTTCATTGTTCTCAAACACACACACACTTGTACACATCCTTTAGACGGTTGCTATATTTCACTTCCAAAGAGTATGAAAAATGAAATAAACGTTGGTTTAAACCTTTTTCTCCTATAAGGGGTTAAGGCTTGGAACACTCAGCAATTCACTGTTAGGTAAAAACTCAACTCAAGACATCCATGCCATCAGCAAATAAAATGTCCCAACTTTTCACATGGTTCCCTAGTGACGGTCGAGGCTTTGTGCCTACAAGAGTGCTGGTGTGAATCTCCTGCGACACATGAGTCCTTAACTGTTAGTCTTTTTCCCCTCAGTGGCTTCTTGCAGCTTTCTTACGATTGCTTCAAAATGTTTAAAACCACACCACAGCACAGAATTCATCCGACTTGTCCAATCAGCCTGGTTTGATTATATTTTAATAATGAGATTTTAAGTTTTCCATTTAAAACCAATTCTGTTTCACAGAGACATTTAACATTCTTTATGATACAATAATATTTTTAAAAATCTGTAGTACCTATGACCTGTTTCAGCTGCTGAGATATAAATATTTCTCCAAATTATGATAATCTGAGGTTGCTATATCTAATTCCTTGGTTTTATGTAAGGAAAATAGGAAATGGAGAATACAGACATTCATATTAAGGAAGTCATTCATAGGGTTTGCCACCAAAGTGACAATCATTTTATCTAGTTTCTTTTATTTTCAAATGTTTCTTAAAAATCACTAAATGGAAGAAACATCTCATGTTACATAACATAATGCAATGCAAGTAGATAAAATTAGTAAGGTTATCAAAGGAAAAACCTATTTAAGAGATGAGCGGCTCTGTCGGGTGGAATGCCAGCATCCTAGTTATGCATAGAGCACCTGCCTCTCATCCTAGCACTCGGGAGGCTAAGGAAGAGCTTGGTTAATTTGAAAACACCTAGGATGCTGTCTTAGGGTGACCATGCTGTAATCAATCACCATATCCTGAAGCAACTTGGGGAAGAAAGAAAGGGGTTATTTGGCTTACACTTCCACATCTCTATTCATCATCTAAGGAAGTCAGGACAGGAACTCAAACAGGGCAGGAGCTGATCTAGAGACCATGGAGGCACACTGCTTACTGGCTTGCTCAGCCTGCTTTCTTAGAGAACCCAGGACCACCAGCCCAGGAATAGCACCACCCACCATGGGCTGGACCCTCCCCCATCACTAATTAAGAAAATGCCCTATAGGCTTGCCCCATCTAATGGAAGCATTTTCTCCACTGAGGTTCCCTCCTCACAGATGACTCTAACTGTGTCAAGCTGACGTAAAACCAGTTAGCACAGCTGCAAAACAAGACTGTATTTCCCCAAAACCACCCTGGGCTGGTGGTGCCTGCCTGTGACCTTGTATTTCAGAGGCTGGCATGGTGGCCAACAAAAGAAGGTCACCATGAGTTTGAGGCCAGCCTGGGCTACAGGGCAAGATACTGTCTCAACAAGAGACACCCCCCCAAAACACAAACAAACAAAACAACAAACAAACAAAACCCTCAAACAATCCCCTCCCCCAAAATAAAAATGCCTTGCTTTTAGGGAACCGTTATGTTCCTTCCTATAAATCAAGTGATTGTGGGTTTTTTCTCTTTATCACTTAAAACCCCCCCAAAAAGGTCTGTTTTCTTAAAGTAATAAAAAAAAATAAAGATTTTATATTACCTTGCGTAGAATTTAGGCAAATGAAACCTGTAATAAGGTTTTCTTTTTCAGAAATAATTTCATCTTCATAAACAAAAAAGCTCTTTCAAAATATATAACTAAACTGCATATGTGTGTGTGTGTGTTATGTCAAACAAAAATTGTTTGAAAGAACAATGTGGGCTGGGGCAGATGGCTCAGCAGTGAAGAGCACTGGCTGCTCTTCCAGAGGATCCGAGTATTGTTCCCAGCACCACATGGAGGCTCACAACCATTTTAACTTCAGTTCTGGGATCCAACACCCACTTCTGTCCTCTGTGGACACAGCACATACATGCAGACCAAACACGTAAAATAATCTAACAAAATGCAACAATATAAAAAACGCAATAATACAAAAGGGTGTCCACTCTTGTTTTAGAAAGAACTGTTTATGTCTTAGGAAAGGAAATGTTCCAACACATCTATACAGTGTGAAATATTTTTCAACAGTGATTAAGAACACTGATTTTGGTATTAGACAGGATTTGAATCTTGGCTTTAAGATTTACTAAACATGGCCTTGGCAAGTCTTCAAGCCACTGCGTGCTTGGTTTCCGTGATTGGTATACACCCTGGTACCTGCAGGTGCTCATACATACAGCAATAATAAATATCAATGTAAAAACCAGATGAGCCTTTTTCACCAGGATAGAAGGTATTTATGAAACATTCATTTTCTAAATATCACAAATTCTTGCATAATTTGAAACTAGAAATCATAGGATTATAACTGAATTGGTAACTGCAAAGTGCTTAGAGTAGAGATAAATCAAAGCTTGCTGATTTGAATGAGTGAGGACTTCGGTGATCTTAGGTTAATTGGCATCTCCCTTACTGAAGGGGTATGCTGTATTAACGTAAACTGTTAATGTATAGACTGGGAAAAGTAAGACTTACAGAGATGGTCCAGGGTTAAAGATGCGCTCTTTGCTCACTGTAAGCTGTGTTGACAGGACTGAAGCAGGACTTTCATGAGAGACGGGACTGGCCAGGATAACTTAGGTGCGTGCATGCATGTGTTCAGGTGCATGCGTGCATGTGTTCAGGAGTGTTGACTGTCACTTTTGACAGAGTCCTGGCCAGGAATTTACCGCTCCACAAGTAACTTCCTGTGTGTTCTTTGTAGGAGGAGAGAGGTCAGAAGAAATGCAGGTCCGTCTCCGTTGACAGTTAGCAAACTAGAGCCGGGTGAGCCGGTATCATTTGGGTTCCTACACCAGACTGTAGCATTTGCGTTAGGAGTAGCCAGCACAACACACTCAAGACCAAATTCAAAGGAAATGTATATCATCATTTGAAGGCAGTAGGTTAGCAGGCCTCATCAGATGAATTCTAACAGTAATTCAAATGAAAATTTGTTCAGGACAATAAACCCACTAAAAAGTAGCTTGTAAGAGACGTAGACCTGGCTTGCCCGAGTTTTACAAACTTCCTTTATGTCTAAAGAGAGAGCTAGTAACCCTTCCTCTGTAGATTCATCAGTTTCTCCCTATTTACTCTGATGGCACCCACATCTGGAGGCTCATAAACACTTGTAACTCCAGTTGAGGGATCCAGTGTCCCTTCTGGACTCCATGGGCACACACATGTGCACAGATACACACAAACGCATAAATAAGTCTTTAGAACAAGTACATGGACTGAGTCAGAGAGTGATAGGACATGACACCTGTCACCTTCCTATAACCACATGCTACACATGTACACACACGCAAGAAAAAGCATGAGATTTTCAGACACAAAGGCATTGTAAATTAGCTTTAAATATGCTCCTATGAATGTATTAAATTTTGGTCTAAAAATACAGACATCACCAGAGTGATACCGACATTTAGAAGAAACAATGTGGGAAAGGAAAGCAATTTAATACTTAAGCTATTCTAAAGAGAACACAGCTATGGCTTTAGAGAAAGAAAGAAACAAACACTGTTTCAGTCTCCAGCAGTGAAGAGGATCATGGTGTAGGTGGAGCTTTTGTTTGTATCCTAAATCTTCCTTTTGCCAGTCAAAGACAGTGAACACGGTATGTACTCTTCCCTCCCACATTTTGCCTTTGTGGTGGTTAAGAACAGGAATGAGATTTACCTTGCATTACAGTTGCCATGATTACATTTATCTTTGGCATAGCACCAAGACCCATGCCTGGTACATAGAGACCTACAAGTGACGCATGTTCTATTTATGTCTGAAATGTCACACAGAATTGAACATGATATGACATTCAAGTAAATCAATAAACTGGTTTAACAAACTACCAAAGAAACAAAAGGAAAATAACTCACTTAAGGACTGCTAGCAGAAAGAACAAGACAGAAAAGAGACAATGAGAACTCAGTGTAAATAAGGAAGCTTGCATTTGTGTGTGCTCAAAATGCTGCCGGCAAACCACTTTTCACAGGTCACAGCAGCATGGTAGTTGTTAGCCTCCTAACCTGCTTTCTGTAACCAACCTTCTTTTGCTGGCTTCTACACAGTGAGGTCTTCCTTCAACTACACTTTCCCCACCTATCGCTACTAAAATCATTGAAGGCTCACATTAAGTTGAAAATAAGTTTTCAATGGCATTCATTTTCAATGGGCCTTCCCTGTCACTTACTGAAGAATCCATTTGAAAACTACAAGTATGCTTGAGATTTCTCATTATAGAACGCAATCAATGCCTGGCCACAGGAACATTATACAAAATCAAATTTGAATTCGAAGTAGAGAAAATGGCATTAAAACACGACAGGTTTTGTTGGCTCTGTGTGTTCGTACATGTGTGTTTTTAAAGAAACCAGACGTTCCTGTTTCTCCAAAATATGAACAAAACATAACCCAGAGATGCTTGCTTTGATCATAATTTAAACGTATCAAATGTGTGTTGGGCTACAAGGAACAAAGAACTAAACTCTCTTTTTAATATCATGCTGTATTTTAAACAGTAGTTTATACAGTAATATCTTCTCATGAAGTTTTGCTCTAACAGAATCTCCACATTTAGGAAATGCCATTATCTATCGCCTATCTGCTTTATTGCTGCTCTGGCAGATTCTGTCAACATCATGAGCCAGTGAGGTCTTGTTCTGTGTAGTCTGACTTACTGGAAAACAACAATAGCACCACAAAAACTTTGTTTGCTGAAAAGGAAAGTGGAGAGGAAAAACGAAACCTCACCGCTTCTCTAGTTTATTAGAAAACAACTAAAAAGAGTCAAGTAGGAAACTGACTAGAGGCTTCTGAGACATGTCAGTTTCATTCTCCCCCATTGGTACGCATCCCACTTTAAAAGGATTACAGTGAATAAGCCAGCCATTGACTTGCACTACTCTAAAAACCAACAAGGAAATTCAACAGCCAGTGGATTCCAGCTGAATGAAATGTTTTCACTAATGAAGACTAACGACCTGGAACATACTCAGATTAGCTAACTAGAAAGTCTGTTTTAAAAGTCCCTAAGTCAGAAGCTGGCTCAGTGGTTAACATGCTAGTCACAGATGCGCACGAAAGGAGATCTGATCCCCAGAACTCACACCGAGCTGGATGTGGTAGCCCACGCAGCTGTAATCCAGGAGATGGAGATGGAGCTCTCTGGGATCCAGAGAGCCAGCTAGCCTGAGGTATGCCATGACAGTGAGGCCTCATCACCGGACTTCTGTATGTGCAGTAGGACACGTGTGCTTACGAACACGCACAAAGATTAAAAAGTCAATTCCGTCAGTACATGGGATGGTGAAAGGAGGATCAGGTGTTCGAGGCCAGCCTTGGCAAGTCTGGACTACAGAGTGAAAGCCTGTCTCAAAGCCACACCTCCCAATGTCATAGGTTAAGGGAAAACTACAATAATTTTTTAAAAATTTGATGTTAATTTGAATCTAGCTCATTCTTTATTGTAAGTAAGTGCAGAGGGAGAAAAATTAGTAGCAAAAACCCTGAATAATCTAAAAATGGACAACTGAACTGTGAATAATGTCTTCTAAGCAAACCCAAACACATGCTTTAATCGGCACATCTACTTTCCACAATTTTGCTTCTATTTCTGTAATCTTGCAGGGAAGTTCTAAACGTGTAAGATCAAACTTCTATACACTAAAGTAGGTAATGTACATACAAACTGACCTTTTGCCAACTCGTTCAAGTTGATGCCCCACTGTGCTTTAGTTTTATTAATATCCTGTTTTTAGATTTAATTCTATTAACTGAATGTCATGAATCTAGTAGTCTGAAACAACTCACGTGCCTTCTTCAATAAGCCTGTCCTCCAACTTAAGCCTCTACCACTCCTCAGTTGAAGAAGCGAAGTATGGATGACTGACGAGCTGCCAGCTCGATCACCAACATGGGGAGAAGCAGGACTTTGCTTCATGAGCACTAAAACCTCCACAAGGACATCAGTACTACCATATTCTCCAAATCTCCCGAGACTTCTACCATATAACAATCGATCAACACGGGGAGGGCAGCTCACCAGAATTACTGAATGTGAAAGAAAAACTCAACTGTCCAAGAAAGAGAACATCTAAGTGAAGGCACAAAAATGGACCCCAAAATAGGCAGTTATGTCCAACAGAAAATTCAGGTCCTATAAGTGAGGCATGTATGAAAGATTTAACTCCAACCATTTGTTACCTAGGAATATACCCTACGAATTAGGCAAATGCAGACATTTGCTTAAGTGTGACAATAATAAAATTAATGCTACTACCACTTAATGGAAAATAATCTAAATGCCCATTCATTAAAAACTGATATATTGGAAGGTGGTGGTGGTGCACACCTTTAATCCCAGCATTCAGGAGGCAGAGGCAGACGGATCTCTATGAGTTTGAGGCCAGTCTGGCCTACAGAGTGAGTTCTAGGACAGTCAGGGCTACACAGAGAAACTCTGTTTTGAAAAACCAAAAAAAGAAAAAAAAAGAAAAAAACAACCTGATATATTATAAGAAAATAAAAATCCAGTTATATAATTCTTCGCTAACATGTGGAAACACCATAATATGAAGTTTAGAGGGAAAGCAGATTAAAAAGAACATGTACATTATGAGCAGTATGCATGGAGAGAGCTGCAAAAGTTACCATCAGAATAGAAATGGCTGTTTTCCCTCAGTGGATAGGGAGAAAAAGCTAATTTTAATTTTAACTTTCTATAAAAATTATTAATATAGCTTACATTTAAAAGGTAAATATATTTTCTCTTGGAACCAGAAAATATTCTCTTCATGTTGGAAAAAAAAATGTACATTTACTTTTAATACCATTGTTCTTTTTAGGAGAAATTATCTTAGGAAAATTCTTGATGCTATAGATTCAAAAGTGTCTATCAAAGCAGTGTTTATTATAATTTATAATACTGACAATAAACTAAATGATCAATAGTAAGTTTATTATATTAAAAAATAACTATATAATAAACTAGCATAGTATAAAACAATGAAAAATTAGTTAAACAAGATCTTGGGGACAAAAAAAGGGAAGGTTTGGTGTCACAGTGATGTGTTTGTGTGTCAAGCTGACGGAGTACGGCATGTCCTGGTTAATCTTAATTGTCAACTTGACAAAGCCTAGAGTCATCTGAGAAGAAAAGCCTCAACTGAGGGATTTCTCAGCTTGTACTGGCCTATGGGCATGTCTTGGGACTATCTTGACTATTAACTGATGCAGGAGGGCCTATCCACTGTGGGTGGCGCCATCCCATAAGTTGACTAAGCATAAACCTGGGAACATGCAAGCCAGCAAGCAATGCTCCTCATGGTTTTTGTTTCAAGTTCTTGCCATGAGCTCCTCTCCTGGCCTCCCTCAATGACGGACTGTAACCTGGAAGTGTGAGCCAAATAAATATTTCCCTCCCCTAAGTTGTTTTCGGTCAGTGTTTTATCACAGCAACAGAAAATACTAGAACGTGGTGACATACCTGTAATTCTGATACTAGGGAAGGAAAGGTATGAGGATCAGAAATTCAAGGCCATCCTCAAATACAAAATGAATTCAAGGCCAGCATGGATTACATAAGATCCTGTCTCAAAACAACTATATTTTAAAAATTAAGATAATGATGCTTGGTGTTGTGACTCATATCTGTAATCCTACTAATCATGAAGCAGGAACAAAAGGATCATAAGTTTCAGGCCAGCCTGGATAACAGAACAAGTTCAAAGTCAGCCTAAGCTATACAATGAGACCTTGTCTCAAAGCATCAAGGGGTGGAGGTATGGCTCAGTAGTATCCCATGTACTATCAAGCTTCCTCTCAGATCACTTGCCTTTATTTTTAAAACTACTTGGGAACTTGCAGGACATCTCAGTGTGTAAATCCAACAACCTGTTTGATTCCTAGACTCACTTGGTGGAAGGTGAGAACCTCTCCTAAGTCCCACTCATGCACTCCAGCATGCATGCACCCACAGACATATGTGCACGTGAGATAAAGAAAAATGTAACAAAGCTTGCTTTAGAAATTACTTTGCTATATGCTTTGTAATATAGTTCAAAGTAAGTATTCAATGTAGCAATCAATGTAGTTAAGAAAATAAAATCTAAGATCAGAAATGTAATAACTAAAAAAGAGAGAGAAAAAGTAAAAGCCTCCTGTATGTATTGGCAAAATAAGCTTTTAAAAGTTTAAGAGCAGGGACTGGGGAGGGGCTGCTCTGTATGATGAGGTCCTGGGTTTGGATCACCAGCACCCATGTGAAAAGCCAGGCAAGGTGACACACATCTGTAATCTTAGTGCAGGAAGGGGAAGATAGCAGGATCCCAGGGCCTCCATGGCCAGCCAGCCTAGCCAATAAGTAATCTCCAGGCTCAGTGAGAGACCCTGTCTCAAAACCTGAGGGGAGGAGGAACAGAAGATGGCACTGGATGCCAACCTCTGGCCTCCACACATGATAAATGCATAAGCACATGCATCTGGATACATATAAGCACATACATGCATGCAACACATATACACATAGTTTAAAAAAAAAACATTCTTCTGTGCATATAGAAAAAACAGCTGTATGGTAGATCCAGGCCAACATGAATGCTTATGGCACTGGGTCAGGTCCCAATGAGCAGCCACCTAGATTGCGCTGCGTTCCCTGCTTTACTGAACAACCAAATACCTTGCGTCAGGTACCAGCTCTTCCCATCAGCTTTTCTACCACTGTGCCAGCATGCATTTTGCTAGTTTCAAGTCTTTAAAACCAACCTGCCATGGTCTTTCCCAATCCAGTGGAATAGGAAATGCTCCAAGCCATGCTCCTATAAAACTAGAAATTGTAGTGATCTGAAGACTATTCTCCCAAATGGATGTAACTCTGCAAGACACAATACACAAGTTGTTGGCAATTTATATTATAATAGCTGGAAAATCACACAAGCACTAGCACAAATCGATGCTACACATGTTTTTCATTCACTTAACATCATCAACACCATTTGACATAGGAACATGAAGATGTATGTGCACTGTGAGAGACAGAAGATCACTGGAGTAACAACTAAGTCCTCTTATCACACCTCCTGAGTCCTTTCCCCACAGACAACTGTCATTTTCAAATTATGATATACCTCTCCAGAAAGACTGTGCAGGTCCAGATACACACACAACTTTATCTTAAAGTATATACACATATCTACATAAACGAAATATGTGTAAGTATGTATATTCCCAAATAAGATTTAACTACATCATGCTTTAAGCCCAATTTAGCTTTGTTTTCTGCAGGAACAGCTATAATAGTAATTCATTATATGAATGTAGAATGGTTTTCTTGACTCATCTTCTTCATGCTATATTTCAATCAATATGACTTCATCTATCTGACAAGGAACAGAGAACAAGAACTTCAAAGGATCCCATGATAGTGGACATGGTGGCACACACCTATAAACCCAGTGCTCAGGGCAAGACAGTGCTCAAGTAGTGACTTCAAAGCCAGAAAGGACTATGTAGTGGGGTCCTATCTTAAAACAAACAAACAAAAACACAGTGAATTTTGCCTACTATTCCTATATTAGGGTAAAGGGAAGGACAGAACTCTTGCTCCTCTCATAGTTCAGGTCTTGATTTCAGCCTTATAATGTGAATACTTAAGTCATTCTTATGCATGACTATATGACTATGTAACTATGACATGTAAGAGCATGTGTCTAGTTACAGTAAAGGCCCACAGCAGTGCAGTAAGTGGGGTCAAAGATCTGATTGCTTACAATGCATGGTGGAGTTAATTTGAAGTTAATGAAAAGCAGCAGCAGCATTTTCATTGGAAGCCCTTCCAATTATCGCACACAAAGTGTACAATAGTGAATTACAGACAGTCAAATGTCTGCCATAAACCAACTCTGTCCACCTGACAGTCCCACATCTAGAAGAGTCTTGTTTCTGTTAAAACTTGGGGTTGAGAGGAGGTGGTAGACAATCACCATGTATTCAAATTTGTATTACTGCTGGGCCTTACTGCTCTGGATTTTAAGCAATGCTTGTAAATGCTAGCCAGTTTCAACTAGCACCCAGCAGAAGGGAAAACTTCCTATTTTGAAGAGGAAATAAACTGGCTGAGTTAAATATAAAAAGTGACTTGCACTGTCCAGGTAACTTCTCAAAGGTAAGTTTTGACTGGGTTTGTGGCTGACAAGTGTTGACATTAACCACAACACAGAGTGCAATGTGCTGGAGACGGGAAGTGAGTGTGGGAGAGACTCAAAGCACACTTTACTCTGCTGGAGAGAGAGTTTACTCTTCTGCTTTCCCAGAAGAGGAAGAAGGTCATCAAGGCTTGAAGGAATAAGCAGTGCGAGACCTTAAGCTAGGAAAATGCACTGTGTAAGCGTACACATGTGATGCTGGATGAGGCCAAGAGCAAGACGGGAAACAGGCTGGAGAGATGGGTTAGAGGGTTTGGGGTTTTGTTATTGTTGTTGTTGTTGTTTTAAGATTTATTTATTGCGTATACAGTGTTCTGTCTGCATGTATGTCTTCAAACCAGTAGAGGGCACCAGATCTTATTAGAGATGGTTGTGAGCCACCATGTGCTGGGGATTGAACTCAGGACCTCTGGAAGAGTACCCAGTGCTCTTAACCTCTGAGCCATCTCTCCAGCCCGTGGGTTAGAGTTTTATACAATGTCAAACCAGGTGTGGCAGCTCACGCCTCTAGCTCCAGCACTAAGGAGGCTGAGACAGAAGGGATAGTTCAAGGTTAGCTTGGACTACAGAGCAAGCTCTAGTCCAACCTGGGATATAGTAAAACAATGACTTCATTGAGTATAGCAAAAACAAACCAACCAAACAAACTGAAAACCCCAGGAAATCCCTTTCCAGCCACATAACTTACTTATCAAGTTTATAATGCAATAGTTTTTAGGATAGTCAGTGTTACATAATCATCACCAGCCATACTTAGAATATTTTAATCACTATAAAAAGAAACTCTTCACCCATCAGCAACCACTCCCCATTTTGCCTTCCACATAGCCCTAAGCAACCGAGCTACTTTATGTCTGTGGATTTGCCTATTCTAAATATTTCACAAAAGTGAGCTCAAATGGCAAGAATTCTTTTACTGATTTCTTTCACTTAGAATACTCTTTTCAAGGTTCATCTACAGTGTAGCATGTATCAATACTTCATTCAGGTCAGTGGATCATACTCCCTTGTATGATAACTGCAGATGTTATTTCTCCATCCAATAGTTCATGAGCATCTGGGTCGTTTCTGCCTTTTGGTTATTAAAAATAATGCTGCTAGGAACATTTGTGTGCAAATCTCTGTGTGGATACATGTTCTCATCTCTCTTGGGAATATACCTAGAAGGAAACAGCTGGGTCACCTGCTATTTGAGGAACTGACAGTTTCCCAAAGCAGCTAAAACATCTGATTTTTCCACAAGTCATATGTGAAGGTTCCAATTTTTCTACATCTTCCTAATGATCTGTGGACTGCAATCATCCTGGGCAGTGTGGAATACCTCAATGCAGCAGACCTATGGTTAAGATGACATTAAAGTCATGCTATAGAAACCACTGAAGGATGTTAACCACAGTGATCAGAGCCACTGGAGAAAAGACACATGCTCTCCACATTGTTTCATTATTCCAGCAATTTGTAACCAACTTCTGTTTATTAAAATAAAAAGTGCAGACATCCAAAAGGTTGTTTTCAGTTTTGATTGTCTGGTGTAGCCATGAATGTTTGTGATCCTATATACAATAAACATAAAAAAATGGAACCAAGACCTATAAAACTATAAAAATTCTGTAGTCTGATTTTAAGAAAATGTATTTATCAAAATAACTTATGTGATGTCTTTAAAGTCAAAGACTACAATTAGAATAAATCTCCTCCCCTATCTGATTTCTACATCCTATAGAGATGTTTCCAATTATATATATATTCATGTCTCGTATTTCAAGATTTCCTTACTTTCTGCATTCTATTGTAGAAGTCATAGCTCCTTTTATCCACAGCTTTCCGTATGAACACAGGCCTGTCGCCCTCTGTCATCTCTTCAATACTAACCCTGCCCCCTTCAGCTGAATGGACAACAGTGTTTTTATCCTAACTCTGAAACACCAACCACAGAGCAAAGCACAATCACATGTCTTTTCTCTCCATAAAGACACTTTCAGTTTCCCCAGGCTGCTGGGAGAACTGTCTCTTCCCCTCTTCCCACCTGTTTATCTGCCTGTCACTAACTCTCCTCTAAATGTTTAAAAAGGAAACTCCCTCAACAGTGCTCTAGACACGTGCTTCCTCTTTCTCCTCCCCTCTCTTTGTGAGGTGCCTGGCTCACTCCAACCTGCTTGCTCTCAGCCTGCTGACAGCTGCTGTCCTCTGAGGATCCTGCACTGTCATCTTTGAATTTCTTTGTCTCTGGTCTGCTGCTTCGGGAATCTACTGCCTGGGTTCGGAGTCACATCTTGACCCATTCTCTCTCTCTTCCATCCCCCATCACTTTTCCTTCCCTCTCAAAAACAGCTTTGAGGACATGCTTTAAATCTGAAAATGACTTTATTATGATTGCGACAAATATTTTTTTTTTTTTAAAGACGTATTTATTTATTATGTATACTTTGCTCTGCCTGCATGTGTCCCTGCAGGCCAGAAGAGGGCGCCAGATCTCATTATAGATGGTTGTGAGCCACCATGTGGTTGCTGGGAATTGAACTCAGTACCTCAGGAAGAACAACCAGTGCTCTTTAACCACTGAGCCATCTCTCCAGCCCGCGACAAATATTTTGCCTTGGATTTTTGGAAGGTATCGTTCCCTTGGGTCCTGGTTCCCACCCAGAGGTTCAGTACCATTCTAGCCCTCCATTTCTACAAGTAATACGCTTTTCCCACTCTCTGGAAGAATGTCCAATCATCTCTTTATCCCTGGGTATCTTACATTTCACATACAGAAAAATTTTTGTCTTTTTGTTTGAATAAGAGTTTTTTTCCCAACTTTATCTCGACTTCTGTTTTGTTTTTCTACAGTATTTCATTTTCCCAGAGCTTTACTGCTGAGTATTACTCCCTTTGCCTGTCCGTGTTTTACAGATATATTAAAAAAAAAAAAAGTGGTCATCTTCTGTTCGTTCTTGTCTTTGTTTTTACCGAGTCCCTTTGGTTTTAGATTTCATTTGAGGCTAGATGGTGTAAGTCTAGCTTCCTGAAGGAGGGAAGGGTTGTAGGTGAGAGCAGACTCACTGGTGTGTAGGAGGTTCTTTTAAGCTTTATCTCGTGAAGAAGCTGAACAAATCTCAACATTAGGGTTAGCTGAAACGGCTGAGGCGTTGAGGGGTACAATTCCATTTCTCCACTTCTCTTCTTCCATTGTTCCACTTGTTCGTGTTACTTTCACAGTATCTTCTGCTCTGCACCCCTAATTCACTCAAATTTTTTTTTGGCGTAACGAGCCTCTTTCATACAAAAACTAATTCTTTCAATCAGGAGAACTGCCATCTTTAGAGTCCCTTGTGTGCTACAGAAGCACACATTAGTCTTACGTCTGTCTCTCCCTTGTCTCTGTATCTATCATATGTTCTCTAATTGCTTCATGCTTCCCAACTCCTTCCTTGTCCTCACTTCTTTTCATCAGCTCAAACCTTTCCTTCATGCTAAAACTTGATCTTCTAACTTGCCTTATGCTTCTTGATATTTCTTTCATTTTGTTTTGTTTTGTTGAGACAGGGTCTTTCTACATAGCCCATCCAGGAACTCACTCTGTAGACCAGGCTGGCCTTGAACTCAGAGATCTTCCACTGCCTCTGCCTCCCGAGTGCTGGGATTAAAGGTGTGCACCACCTAGCCACTTGGTGATATTTCTGAAATA